GCTCTTCGGAACATGCTCTTCACAGGCATCCTTTTCTGTGTGAAAGGTGAGAGGAGAGATAATGGACCAGTATTTTATTTTTATTTGGTCTTCGATACCATTTGGTGATATAGCGGCTTTAGGATAGGCTAATTTGAATTTTAAGAAATGGAAACCAGTTTTGTTTCAATTTCTCTCTAGGAAGTGTAATGTACTCTGACTGTTCGTTTAATAACTCAAAGCATTTGTCCAGCTCCTCATGTGTAGCAGATGACAAAATAATTCTATATATCATCTATATATCTGCAGTAGAGTAATGGCCGTAGATCGGTTACAAGTGCTTCTAGCTTAGACATAAATGCAATGGCAAGGATTGGTGCCAGTGGCTGTCCCATTGCCAACTCTCTCATTTGTGCATACTATTTTCCAAACCATCTGAAGACTGAGCAGTTCAGGCACTCCTTTAAGAGTGCCATGAGCTACTCAACCGAGAAGCCGCACATGGTTGTTACTCCTTCCTATTGCTCAAGAAGGTCGCGGAGAGCTTGCATTGTGGAGTCATTCGACACGTTTGTAATGGAGAATGCTGATGTCGAAGAACTCCACGTACGTGCTGTTAGCACGCGCGTTACGTAGACGATTCAAGGACTTTTGTATAATCGTGACTTGACCTGGGAGTTGTTGCAGCAACTGGATGAAAACTAGGTTTATAAACTAGGCTATTCTATTCGTGGCCCCATCTACACAACTGACGATGCATCTATCCTTGAAGGCTGAGGGATCGGTAGAAGCAAGGTCATCATCAGTGGATGTTAACTTATGTCCTTGGATAAGTGGGTATAAGATGGAACACGTTGGTAGCTCAACTTGAGAAATAACTGGTAATTTTAAATCTGCCGCGCTTGCTACGTTGACCGACTCGCAGCTTATGTTTAACTGGGTTAAATGCCGACTTGGACCCACTAGATAATTCCCGTAGACAGGTGGCTACTGACGGCACCGTTAGGGTAAAACACTGGCTAAGAGAAAGAAAAACTGAGGGCCTTAGTGTTGCAGTAGGTAACACGTAAGCCTCTGGTGAGGGAATCGCTGGTTGGAATCGGGCCTGGGGTCTCAGTTTTGCAAATATGTCAACATCATTGTGGTCTATTTCACATGTTACCTTCCCATGAAAAAACAACAGAGAGTAAATAAAAGTTACACATTGTGGTATCGTAATAGTTTTGATTTTATTCTCGAACCTGTCGCATACCACATTTCTGCACTGCTGTAGCATTGGAACTAAACCTTTTGTGGAGATAATAGTTAAGGGTTTTGAGAGTTTCGTTCGAAATTATGCGAGAATTGATATCCACGCCGTTGCGATCTTGCTGTATAAGAAAGATTGAAGAAAGGGAGGTGGTGACAATGCCCCTACATCTTGTTTCTCGTTCTTGCATAGCGTCCCTAATCTAACTTTGTTACGAAGTTGATTTTGAAGCTCCTACAGACTGCATGCGATCCTATGCAAGGTTTCTTAAGAGATGAGTTGCTTTGGCGAAAAACTTGCACCGAATTCAAATAGCGAGCGCGAGCCTTTAGGAAGACTCTTACCTCCTACACCGTCTTTCTCTCCCTTCATAAGCGGTGTTTTGTTAAAAATATTTGTTGCATCGTCTGGACATAGTGTTGCAGTCTTAGAACATTTGACAGCAAATATCGTGAGAAATTTCCTAAAAAATATCTGAGAGTGAAGCTATAAGCACTCTGTCCTATCTTGAACCCAGTTAAAGACATTTATTAGATATTCTCGCAATGGATCCTCCATGCTCTGAGCGGAGTTTTCTTCTTGATTGCTGTTTTCGACAACTTGTTGCCTTTATGAATTAACGGGAAGTGTTGATTTATTTCCCGTAAACCGCGTAATAATATCCCTTTCATCCTTTCATTGCAGCACCATTATACTTCTCCAATGCTATTGAGCTTTCAATTGTTCCATACTCACTTCCTGCCGATAACTTCCTTAAGCAGTCCTCTGCTACTCTCCTTGCAAGTACTAATCTTGAGTTCTCCTCTTGAGCAGTTTCTGAACCAGAGAGGTACTGCGGCACCAGTTATCGAGTATCAGTGTATATTCCCCATTCTTGGTTCAAGAAACTGTCCATAGCCCTCATTACTACCACTACCATAATTCAGCCAGAAACCGCGCGCTTGAGAGCTCTTTTCAGTACATAGAACAATGCTGCATAAGTATTATCCAACATTGTATAACCTGGGTAACTTTGTCTCATAATAAATTTTTGCCTCTTACATAAGATAAAGGATAAAAGATAAAGCTCTCAGCGTTGATCAATCACTGAGGGATGCGCTATGCATTCGACTTCACTAAGGATCGTTGGAGGTGACTAAATGAATATCTGGCCTTTACAATGACTCGCGATGGCCTCCTACCGATGTATCGAGCCAGTGCTGCTATCCTCTCAGATAAGTGTGCTACCACTTTGCCGACCCCGGATGGATGGGGGACTTGATGGGCCATGGGCGCGAGGATCGATTACACATGTGTGTCGCAGTGGTGCCTCCAACCACTGCGCCACATGCGCCCCTAAGATATATTGCCCAGTTGCAACTCTCTCTCTAAACGGCATGAAGGAAAATCAAAAAATCTATATGTTTCTTCCGCAATTCACATTGACAAGTTCCATAAGTGAATCGACGGTGTCCCATCTATTTTAGTTGTTGCAGCTTGCATCGGCTAGTAAATGAAGATGAGCCAACAACTTTTCAGATTTATCCTTCCCCATTACTTAAGAAACAATAGGATTACTTCATAATATGAGGCCTCACTTAAGCTCCAACAATTCCCACTTTTATAAGCAATACACCAAGGTCTGTTCTATGAGTTCTTGAGGTTCCGAAAGCATCAAGTACTTTATATGGCATTTTATTTAGAACTATACGAAGTTGTTCAAGACCAGCATCTATTATCGTGTGTTCGTAATTTGGAAACCAATTTCGACCGATAGTTGAATATTGCTAAATTTTCAATCATCATGATGAATTATGACAGTCGTATGGAATGGGTAGGTATAAAAATGCCGCAATATACTCCATGTATGTTGCAAATGTATATTGCGAATAGAATAAAGAGAACAAGGAAAGCCAGACTCGGTGCCCATCTTTTCGATTCCACGACTCAACGTACTCCTCGAAAATCTCGACGCTAGGTAGGTCGGGAGATATACTCAGCGCTATTGAACTCGCATCTCAGAGCGTGATTCTGATCCTAAGAGCAATTCACACAGCGCAAATGGGAGACGAATCCAAAGCTCCGGGCTACGTTAACGATCAGAAACCAAAAACACTGTTCTAACGCCAATTTGTTGAAAACAAGGTTGTCCGAATATATAATTCGCATCAATGATAACCAGTGTACAATAGGTATCAGAGAATAGACTTCTCGGAGTGTCAAACTCACAGCAGGAAGATCACAGACCCGGATAGAGTTCTTCACGAGAAGCCTAGAAAAAAAGATGATGCACATCTAAACCGGATACGGAAAAACGAGAGCAACCACTGATTTAATACGTTGGTAGTTGTCTATGAATCTCTATAGACTAAATATGCATTGAGTGTCTTTCTAGATGAGCAAACACGAGGTTGGTTTTACAGCATTCACCAATATAGAGTAGCCGACGTCTAGGCGGTTTCGCCTTCTTCGGAGTCCGGAAAGGCCAAACTGGCGTGAAATCTACTCAACTAAACACTTTCATAGCCCCAGCAGACAAAATTAACACATAAATTTTCATTTGCATAACAAACAGCTTCTTTTAAACAACCATCTTTACTCTTTGTAAGTTTTCCTATTATTTGGTGGAGACCAGTAGCACAGAGTTTAACATAGTCGAAGAATGTGCCTGGCACAGGTAAGATAACCAGCTTGAGGTATGGCGCTAGGTCAAGCGTGATCATGAGAAAATCTTGAAGCGTTTTGAATTAATTCTAAAAATCAAAAAATGAACCGCGAGGAGTGTCTCGTGATCACGCGTGACCCTGCACCATACCTCAACCCGATTCTCCAACCTGAGACAAACACATTTCTCACCCATATACTACTCTGTGCGGCTGGTCTCCAACAAAGAATTGGAAGACTTAAGATGAGGAAACGATGATTGTTCAAAAGAAGCTGTTTCTTGGGCGAATGAAAATTTATGTGTTACGTTTTATTTGATGAGGTTATGAAAGCCTTTGGCTGAGTAGATGCCATTTTGCCATTACATGCCATTTTGACTTTTCCAGCATCTCAGGAAGCCGAAACCGGCGAGAGGACAGCTACGCTGCATTAATGAACGCTGTGATACCAACCTCTCCCAACGCTTTACTGCCGCATCGTGGTAGGTGTTTCTCAGTGTCGGGCTGCGAGGTTCACCGTGTAGATTCATTGAGAGTGGGGAAATTCATTTTCCGAGCAGGGTCTCACAAGCTGAGAATGATCCTGGTGTTTCTATTAGAAACCCCAGCTAAGAGTAAACCAATACCGGGATCCACCATCGTCCTGATATGAAACTAGTGGTATGGTGGTAAATCTTCCTCTGATCAACAAGGGTGGCTATTGTCTGTAGTGGTCACGAACTGGGAAAGACTTTATTTAGGCTGACGTCGGAACTCCAGGTAACCACAACGGCTAAACCAGCAAAACTCCGAAAAAATGGGAATTATGCGGGGCCCGCAAAAACCAGTAAGGACGGGCCATCCAAGTATCCAAGTGAGTAAATAATACCAACCTCGCGTTTGCTCATCAAGAAAGACAACAGTGAATTCTTGATCTCTGTCAAGATTAAAAGAATGGAAATCTTGTGGTTTGCAAAATATGCACTTATTCATGTGAACGATGCTTAACAGATTCGTATATATGACTCACGTCGTAGAGAGTAATTAACATAGAATACTTCATGCTTTTATCCTCCATGGATTTATTTACTTATTATCTCAATATTCACTGTGAAAAACTTTTTTTAAAGGTCGAAGGTACTATAGGCCGTATGTTGACGATGTTGTTGTGTAAACCGAGGCAGGAGGACGGAAGAAAAGTCGACAGCAACCTTGTGAATACCCATGCAGAGCTGCTTGTCAAGGTTACCTCCGGCACTTTTTTATCCGGGTAGAAAAATAGAGTCTACGGTGAAAACCATACTACGGTGGCATATACCACAAATTGACTGGTTACATTGGAAGATAAGTCAATTACAGAATTCACTAGACAAAATCGCAAAAAACACGGAGCTTTTTGAAGAGGTCTTCATCGGACACTCGTGGAAGCATCTCGCAGCTGTTTTCGAACGGGTAAGCTGTTCATTAATTTTGCAGTGAAAAAATATGAAAGCTTGTCAAAATTCCCAATGTATTTCCTGTACATCTGGTAATCCACCCGCTGAGAGTATATCTGAATATTTTTAAAGTGGTTAAACTAAAGTTGAGGTAAATGGTAAACCTCGTTAAATGCTGCCCAAGGAAGAGGAATCCTGCCCACTAGTAGAAGTGTTCCTTCCTCATGGGCACATACTACCACTAGAGTCAAACTAAACCTCTTACTGTGTTTTACTGGAAAATATGGATTTTTTTCTTTTTTGCTTATATACAATCCCACAACTATGTGAGATCATTCATATTATTGTCTTTTGTGATGAGCAAACAAGAGGTTACATCACAGTACTTATTAATACAAAATGACTGATGTTTAGGCAGTTTAGCCTACATCAGAGCCTAGAAAGGCTAAATTGGCAAACAGTCTGCTGAAAAATTTACTTTCTTAACCTCAGCAGGCAAAACTTAAAACATAAATTTCCATCCGCATAGTAAACAACTTCTTTTGAACGCCCACCGTTTTGTTCTTTGTAAGTCTTCCAGATATTCGGTAGAGATCAACCCAACAAAGTCTTACATGAGCGAGGAATGTGCCTGGCTAAGCTCAAAAAACCAGGCACGTAGGTAAGTCTGAGGTACGGCACGAGTTCACGCGTGATCACTACTCGCGGTCCCTCCTTGGATTTTTGCAGTTTATCCAGAATGCTTCGAGATTTTGCACGTTGAAGTTTTAGATTCCTAGAAGAAAAGAGGTTATCTTTACGGTGAGTGGCAAACGCAAGATTTATCGAACGAAAGCAAAAGGCTGGTGAGGCGTATTACGTATTGCCTGTGGTGGAACTTCGTTACCCTCTATTGGTATGTCGTATGACGGAGGTAGCTTAGTGGTTAGTGATGCCGTCGATCGGGATGCGAGGAGCTGTTTAGACCCATTTCCAACACCCTCTCCTAATCCTCGTGGGAACGCCTTAGTCCAGATGTCACAAAGATTGCAAGGAGAATCGACTCACATTCATGAAGACGACGGAATCTTCAAGCAGCGGCCAGAACAACACGCGTTCTAAGACCATTGTGGACGACGAAAGGGAAGAAAACGAAACGAATGAAAGTCCTGGGTTCCACACAGTAGATGTGATGACGGGTCATATAAAATGAAAGTAGGAGAATAGCTCATCCTACGACTTTGTTTTCCCTAAACAGAGACTGCTTCCACTGAAGAGAGTGCTATCGGATTCTGATGCAAAAACACCGAGTCCGTACTCATCACTGTTTTCACACAATGTATCTTTGGAAACGTTATGGACTCTCAACAAATAATAGTCAAATATAGATGGAAAAGAAATACGGGAAAGCCGAACCATATAGACAAGATATGTGAAAACGGTTGCCAAAGACTGGCATTCTCGCAGGTGATTGTGGACCAGAGCACCCTCACCGTGCATATGATTTGGAAGTGCTGAAGAAACCTAGAAGAATAGAAGAACACAGAGGATATGCAGTACATGAAAAGCCACAAGATGCGACAGAAATATACACAGAAAAACCATGTTGTAAAGCGAAAAACATAAAAACGCGCCTAGTAGCTTGAGCGTAGACGGAACCGAATGTATTCAGTTCAATGCACGTCGCGCACGAATGCTCATCTTGTTCTGTAATCTTGAGATGGGATCAAAGTAAGGTAAAATTTGGTTTTATGGTTCGATTACGACATTAGAGTGTTGGTTAGAAGTTCCGCTCAGTGATGAAGCTGAATAGTGTTAAGGCTGAAGATAATGAAATCCTCACAAATACAGTGCGAAGGTTTGTTTAAGGTAAATGGATGGAAGCGTTACCAATGCAACACTACAGTTTCATGTTTCCTGCAGAATACGTTTGGAATAATAACTAATTGCCTTCTTTGAATGGAATTCCTTTGTTAATTAACGATTAGATGACTTGTGCTTCAATGGATGCATAGTACTTACTTTACTTTCTTGACACTTTGATAGTCTGTCCTCATTGGTTATGTGGACCCCAGCATAATCTCCACTGTTTTGCTGGAGTTTTGCTAGTTTAGCCACCGTTGTTCACTGGTGTCCCGAGATCAGGCAGGCCAAAGTCTGCCCTAGGGCATCACCATCACAGGCTGTCGCCGTCCTTGTGGATTAGAGGGGGATTTGCCACCATGCGACTAATTTGATACCAGGACGGTGGTGGATCCTGATACTGGGTGCCACCCAGGAACATCTTCCAGCCACGAGTAGGCTGAAAACCGTTGGGAGGTATTCATAATAATAGGCTAAAAACGAACATGAGATAAATTTTGTTATTTCAGACTTACCTGTTTAGGTGGATGAAATGCGAAATGGTACACGAGATTTGGAAACGTTGATCCGAAAGAACAAAACAGTTCACTCAGAAATCCGAGTAATTTTTCTCACTATAGGTGAGCACAGGACCAAAAACTTGTGTCATCTTCGGTACTTTGATTCGAATACTTTTAAAGTTTCAGACGACACATTGATACCTTAAACACATTGTCTGTCTTTTTATCATAACTCTAGTTATTGATGTACGTTTTATGCCGAAGTGTTCTCTTCTACTGCTTGACCTAAGCTCAAATCCTCTTCGCACCAAATTCTACTGGCTTCAGTACGCGTCGCAAGAAACATGCAACTGTACTTCGCCGAACAGTTACATGAGGCGATGATGGCAGAACGAACAAACCACCAGACCATTATTCGAGTTACCGTCACCCGTAGCGAGGTGACTTTTTATTTTATCAAACCGAAAATCTCAAATGGTGGTACGCGGGCTTACTTGAGAACAAACGACTATATCACTTATCTATTTATAGCACAGGTCATGCACACTACACGAAAAACATAAACAACACAGAGGGAAAAGAAAGAGGTTTAAGAGGAATAGATGTGCTTGGTGGCCCTGGGACGCAGGTTCGACCCGACGTGTATTGCAGGGCGCTTCCGACCACTGCGCCACCCGCACCCATGGCATTTCAATACCCAAGCGCATTCTAGTCGTTCATGCGGTGATAAACTACAGGCGCCTCAGCAGAAATGTGTAATACCCACATGCTACGCAAATTATTGCAAGAATTCATATCTCTTTGCAGATCGACCTTTACGACATCGCAGAGGAGTATAACCGCCGGTACCAACGAACGCTGGCGTACGACATCCAGAAAACATGCAGCGGCGACTACATGCGTCTCGTCGTCGCATTGCTCTCGAATTCCAGCAACAATAACAATCAAGTAATGTAGGAAGGAAACGAATTCGCTACTTCTCACCACTACTTTGTTTTATCTTCACATCAAGTTTTTTTCAATAGCAACAAGATGTACACAGTTGTCACACATATTTCAACAGTATATTCAAATATTCAAAGACTCAACGGTATTACTAAATAAAGGCGGTTGACTTCACAATAGATGCTTTAAAATGCACAAAGATGAAGTTTTATAGTGGATAAAAGCAATACGGGTTCATTTCCCAACAGCGGCTTTCTTAACCCTTTCTTATTCTAGGAACAAAGTGTCGATACAGCGTAACACCTGCTCGCCAGAGTTGAGATGAATGAGTATGAAGTCATAGCCCAAAACGTAATTTTTTGCTGAAAACTCTACAATGGACATGCCTGTTCTGTTCATAAAATCACCAATAAAAAACCACACCGCAAACCACTGCTTTCCAAGTACAAATGAATGAAATTTGTCCAGAACGCAACCTCCATTCATTGGGTCCCTTTATACTCTTGCCAAAAATGCACTGCAAGAGATTGAACTCGCCTGTACATTTAAGCACAAGGTAGGCACATCTCGTAGGTCCGTTTTTTCAACCTGGTCACGTTCATTATGTTGCATAAGAAAAACAATATTTGCGAATATGCTGTGTTCGCATCATAAACGACAAAGTACGACGTAGCATGGAAGAAGCCACGTGCTTTCTTCTAACAAAATTTTTATACTCCTAAATATATCACTAGTAACAGTCTTGTCCGAAGCGAACAGACTACCAATATAGCACAAGGTATTCTTTATTGGACTCTCACTGCATTAACACCCGACCTAACTTTAGAAGATTGTAAACAACCACAACCACAGCTCAAAATAAATTACTATATAAGGTCATTAATGCATATTATGCAAACTAGTATTACGCCACTACCTATAGTATTACACCCTGATGACTAGTGAATTGAAAGTTGTACAAACGATAGCGAAATAATTGGAGCCTACACTATAGTAAAGCGCTGAAGTAGAAGTATTACCACCAGAAAATAATGACTACAGCCGAGTTCTAGGACTAGAAGATCACGAGTTAAATGGAAAATTTAGTAAGAGTCGCCATTCTGGATGGGATTGTCCTTCCTAGGTGCACGAATGAGAGCCTCCTGCGCAGTCGAGAAAACCAGACGACCATTGCGAGTCCATAACTTACCTTCTATCAAAGTACGTGCACCGCCTTAAAATACATAAAACATAAAATACATAATATATGAGAAATATAAAAATACAAAAGCACAAAGCATAAACAAAATTTATAAAATACAGTAGACCAAAAATAGCCAACCAAGTATTTCTGCTTCATCTGACAAGTACATATAATAATTACTACTTGAACATCTGGATGGATCGGCGCCACTGGTTGTGCGGGTTCTAGCGTAATCTCCATTCCTCGGAGATTTGCTGATTTAGCTACTGTAGTAGTGAAGTCCTGGGGTCCAAAGTACAGCCTGGCCGAAGTTTGCTCTGGGTCATCACCACCACACGCAGTTGCCGTCCTTGCGCATCACAGGAAAATTTGACACCATGCAACTAGTTTCTTTCCAGGACGGTGGTGGACTCTGGTATTGGTTTACTTTTAGCTGGGCTTCCTGATGGAAACGCCAGACTCCTTCTCAGCTTGGAGACCTTGGTGGAACGAATCCCCCCGCTGTACATCGCAGCCCGACACCCAGGAACACCTCCCCACCCATGATGAGGTGGTAAACCATTGGAAGGATAGTAATTGTTAATATGACTATATCACATTATAATCTCAGTTATATCACCCGTAGTCCGGTTGATCGCCGAGTGACTTGAGCGGGCGTCAGTAAATCTTCCCTTTTTCCCCGTCGCGTGCAAGAGTAACCCAGTGAGTTCTGTTCGCTCTAGGGACTCGTCGAGCATCATATCTTTCTTTTAGGTTCCTCGTGAAAAACTCTGACCATCGGGTCGGTGGTCTTCCTGCAGTATGTTTGACATCCAGAGGAATCCAGTAACTAACAGTTCTTGTCCATTGATTCTACCATGTCGTTCACACGCATTACGTGTACGGGCCACTTTATCCTCGACTGTTTGGCGTACAGAACGGCATCTTTGATTTTTGATCGCTGATGCAGATTGGGGCTTCGGATCCCATCCTTTACTTGTGTGAAACGGGATGCTTCATGTCGTTTAACGCTGAGTGATTTGTCATCCTGCTTACGCAGCGACCAGGTTTCTGACGCATACGTTAGGGCAGGAAGCATTGCTCAGTTGAAAAGGTGGGCACGGAGTCGGGTGTCCTTTGTTCTCTTCACAACATCCCCGATGCTTTCGAAAGTTCCCCAAGCCACTCGTTTCCTTCTGCTCAACTCCGGAGCTAAGTCGTTCATCATGTTGATTGAAACATAGGTAACCAATACGCTCCTCACGAACATCGTTTTTGTGAGATTTAGTCGAAGACCAATCTTTCCATAGGTTTTATCAAAGTCGGCAATCATTCGTTCCGTTTCGCCAATATTTGGTATAACAAAAACGATATCATCATCAAATCGAAGATGGTGTAACTCCCGACCATCGATTTTCACTCCCATATTATCCCATTCCAATGTTCGCATGACGTTCTGAGGGTGGCGGTAAATAATTTTGACGAGATCGACCCTGCCTAACCCCTCTTTTGACGTCAATGTTAATATCGTTGTAGAATGGTGATATCTTGGTTGTGAAATTTTTGTACAGCTTACGAAGAATCTTTACGTACTGAGTAGGGATTCCTTGACTATCAAGGGTTTCCATGACTGTTTCTATCTCAGTTGAATCAAAGGCCTTCTGTAAACCGATGAAAGTGAGATAGAGTGGTCTTTTGTACTCTTGCGATACTTCAATGAGTCTTGTTATCGTGTGGATGTGCCCCATAGTACTAAATCCTTTTCGAAACCCTGCTTGCTCACATGGCCGTCATTCGTCCAGTGTTCTGTCAATCCTGTTTAGGATGACTCGAGTGAAAAGTTTGTAAACGATAAACAGCAAGCAGATGGGTGATAGTTGCCTATATCGTGTAGGTCACTCTTCATGAGCAATAACACGGTCTCGCTGGTCTTCTACTGAGAAGGGCCCTTGCATTCAGACAGGTAACATGTGAAAAGCCGAGCCAGTGTGTTTATGAAGACTGGCGGAAAGTTCTTCAGGTGTTCTGATCTTATCCTTCCGGACCTGGTGCTGTTCGATTTTTCACCGACGGAATAGCATGTCGGATTTCGGGAGAACCGATGGTACAATATATCCATCCTTTTTTATTTCATACGACGAAAGGTGCACGTGGCTATAGAAGTGATCTGAGTAGAAGTGTTAAATGATTTTCTCCATTATCCTTCTCGACACTATAACTGTTCCGTCTGGGCAACAGAACGCAATCATTTTGGTCTTTTAATTGGCGAAGCTTCGATGGGCTTTGCGAATGCTTTCCCAGCCTCTGCAGTCTCGACCATTACTGTTGCTATTCTCCCTTTAAGATCTTATTTTATCGCCTGTCTGCATTGTTTTGCAAGTTCGGACGTTAGCTCGCGGCTGTTTGCGGCTCGTGCGATTCCACGCTGGCATATCAGCTCGAGCGTTTCCGGAGACAGACGTCTTTTGGTGACTTTCGAGCTTTCAGCTTTCATAGCGCTAACGTGAAGATGTTGAATGAGCCAATTAAATTCTTTGTCGATGTTACCGACAAAGACATCTTCCCAACAGCCGACTAATGAATTGAATAACTCCCAGTTTATGGTAGTTCTAGGACTTCGGCTTCTAAATTTAGCCGCTTTCTCTCGTTCCTGCGAGAAATAGAATCTTGCACGAAGGAGGCGATGGTTCGATCCCGTGGAGGATTTTGGAACAACAGCGACATCGGTTAGGCAAAACCTTCTATTTACTATGATGTGGTCTATTTCGCTGCGGTACTCTCCACTGGGAGACTTCCACATCCAGTCTTGGTCGTCATGATAAACTCGGATAGCCGCTCACCCTGTTCGTTCCATTCTAATCCGTGGGTCCCAATGTGACGTTCTTCAGACGTTCTTCTTGGTCCAATCTTGGCGTTGAAATCTCCAATGATGACCTGGAAGAATGAACGGTCTTCTCTGCAGAACTCCGAGTCCATATAGAACGCTTCGACTTCTTCTTCGTCATAGTTTGATGTCGGCGCGTAAACGACGAAGATTGTCAGAGGCGGAATTGATCCACATCTTTTTAATCGTAAACGTCCGATTCGGGTTGTAAGCTGTTCGAATGAATCGATGTTCATGGACAAACTCGTGTTGACGAGAACGCCGACGCCGCGGAGGAACTGCCTCTACTGCCGCATGTTCCGAGGAACAGTTCTTCTCCGGTGTCATAGATTGGTTGAATGCGTGGTGTCGTCTCATCACGGCGAGGCCGATGACGTCATATCTTAGCCTTCTTGCTTGCATGAGCAAGTCTTCTATGCGAGTGTACGTGCATTGTAGGTACAGATCGTCACTTTAGTCTTTCATGATTCAGGCAGCTTCCATTGGCCTTGAGATTTTAGCGCCCTCTCAGTACTCTTCTACCCAATGCTGCAAAAGTGAGGGCTCTTTCGGTGTCCGGGGAATGAGGCCCGTTTCTTTTACTGTTTTTAGCTTTCTGATACCCACGTGTAGCTTGCTGGGCTCTGAACGTGGGGTTAGGTATACTCACGGGTAGTTTACCAGCCTCTTCCAGAGTGAACATGGAGCTTGTTTGTTGGAGACGACTCCTAACCGCCTCTCATATGCTTCCCTGTCACCTGATCGCAGGACGAATTGACTCGTAGAATACAATCCGCATAAGCGAGAACGCACCCACACACGCATGCATGAATACACCTAGCAAGTACAGAAAGCATGTGCCAAATTTGCGCAGCAGAAGCAGGGAGTCCATCCCCTGAGTCCAGCTGCATCTCAGGGAAACAGAACCGCTTTTGGTCCGTTGTTAACCACCTATCAAGCACCTGAGGATACGCCACATAGCCTCGCGACTATCCGTGTGTCGGGATCTCTCATATGAGGGAGAACCGTGGATTTATATCGGTAATATACAAAAACTCATTATATAACTTAAAAACATTGGGCAACAAAATAGAAGTACATCAAATTCTGTACTTAATGTCATAGAAAGAAATCAATCCTAAAAAATTAAAGTGACATAAGGCGTACTACTACGGCGAAGTAGTCAAAAATATGCTAGTTGTTGAAAGCAAAAAAAAACTCTTAAAATTTACGGAAACTCTAAATTGATGGCTAGAAAAAGGAAAATGAAAATCATACTAGCTATAGTGGAGTGATTCTCATAAAGCAACCAATCATCAATCCGAAACTGGTCGCTGTGCATCCAAATTGAGTGGTCCAGTGTTAATGCCATTGATGGAATGAAGCCCATTCTGCAAGAAACGAAAGAATAACAACAAAGATACTTCCAAATGCAAAAACACTGCGGAAACCAACCTACTATGAGGGCGAACAGCAGTCTCTATCATTGTTGCGTCTGAAATATACGCTGCTGCAGCGACATGAAGACGAGGATCATCACCTGAGTCGAACAAATAATTCTTTTGCACGTAAACACATGAAGTTGAAATTAGTAAAACACAACACATTGTGTCTACCAATATTTTCGTTGGCTTTGATCCACATATACGAGCGGAAACTTTCTTGATCAGGTACTTTATTCCCATCGGTTAAGGACGGTTGGAAGAGAAAAGAATTAATATCAACTGGACGGAACTGAAAACCAAACACTGAGAAGGTGAATCGACATTCCGGAAATACTTTCTAAATAATTACTGAGAAAATCCTGAAGAACGCAGGTGGGATCTCCTTGCGCTTGAAGCGAATCATAGCCGAGGCGGCTGGATGAAGATGGGTATTCTGAAAAAACTACGAATGCAATTTCCTATACTGCTGAAAGGCGCAAAAGTCATTAAGTGAACCTTGCCAGCCTCCTCCATCAGATGGTTCCAATCTAAAAGTCCATCTGGCCCAACCACTTCTGGCATCTTCAACTGATGTGATATGGAATCAGGTTCCGGCTACAAACAACAAAACTACCAAGTTCTCAAAAAGTGTAATATTTCATGGACAACACTTTTAAGAATGAATCACAAACAGTGGGAATAGTGGTGCGGTTTAACTCATTTGCGAGAATGTGCATTGAGTCCAATGCGCATACGGAATAATCAAGTTTCTTTTACGTTAACATACACATTGAGCGACTTTCATCGCCGCGAGCAGAATGCACTCAGCTCTACTCACATCGGTTATTCTACTTCAAAAAAAAAGAATCGTACTTTTTGAGCTATTTACCGCCCCACAAGTAAGTTTTCCAATGTATTTTGTAACTGTTTTTTAATTTTCATTATTTTCATGGTCATATCTTACTACTAATTTCTGTTTTTCCCATTCTACGTCCCTACAAGTTCTTATGTATATTCAACTATTGGGTGTCGGTAGAAGCTAAATTCGCCCATTGGGTATGCATATCGTTTCATTTCATGATATATTTAGGATCTGCCCACTGGATACAATAACTATGAGTCATCATACAATTTCAACAACAACTGACTGGCCAGAAATTGAATTTCCAAGTTTTGGCCAACAGCCAATCATAGTAACCAACGATGAATTGAATCCCACCGATGACTTCTATCTAATGTAGAGTGAATAACATAATCGCCACACTGAGGAAATAGAGCTAAGAATATCTCGTGCTCTTCTTCGATGAAGTGTCGAAGAAGTAAAGAATATGTCTTCGAATATCTGTGAAGAAGGTGCTTAGTCGTAGAAAATGGTGATGAAGAGGTCAACGATGAGCGATTAAGCAATGTCACGACCCCTATATCTTCAAGGAAAAGCAATTGAGAATCAATCTTCTGTGTCCTGATGCATATGTTAAACCGAAATTTTACTAATTCTTCATAACCATTGCCAATAATTTATTGTGTGATCATGGTTAAGAGTATCTTTGGGTACCGAACCGCAATGTATAGCAGTGCGTCTTCCACCAGAAGGGCTCTCAAGCTGAGAAGAAGTCCAACACTTCCGTGTGAGAAAACATCTCGAGCTAATCACTCTTTGATGGAGGCGCAATATATTCGACTTCGAAAGATATTACTGATGTCAGTCGCCAGTGATGAGGTGAATGAACGTCTATTCGATGAATCAAATCACTGTTTTTGTACTCCCAGGCAAGTCTGGATCCAATTTGACGACTCCGGAAAGATGGCGACTTGGTTAGCCCAGGGCGCTGGACCGAACCAACGACCATAAAGCAAAAGGATATCTAGTTAGACCACCAAAAAACGTGATTATATCGAAATTCCGATTTCGTTCGCATTCCTTAAGTAACAGGAGCTCATTAAGCAGACCTGGTGCGCACAAATGGAGTTTCTGATGTTCACTCGAGAAACGGGAGCATAGGTGATATGGGGGATATTTATATATTTTGACGCCTGGTTGTTGAACCGACGATGAAATACTGATGAGAAGGCCAGGCCATGCAAACTGACACTTACTGAACAGATGAAAGGGTTATTCGGCTAAGACCACCATTGTGGTAACTCCTTGTTTGACAAGGTTAGTGGACTGTTAAAGTGTCAGTATGAGCCATTTTATGATAGGAGACAACGTAGTGACCCCTTCAACAGCATTGCGCATCAGGGTGAAAAATTTGTACGAGTTTTGTAGAAAACTGTTTGTAAAATCTAACGATAGAATACAAAAATAGAAAAGAACTTGCAACGAAATAAACAGCCGGGCACTACAGTGGTTCACATAAACTGCTATCGCTTGACTTGTGTTCAATGAACATATCTCAGCACATATTGAACCTTTTGGATTGAAATAAAGACAACTTATATGTCTTTGCCAAAAAATGCAGTCCAAGTTTGCTGTTATACAATTTTACAGTGATAAAGCTGATTTTCTGAAGCTCACAAATCAATCTCTTTTTGCTTCTTGTTCTCAAAGCTGGTATTCAGAGCAGCGATGCTATTCAACAAGCAGAACTTCGCTAACGCGTGGTTGATGTTTTCGGATGCTCAGTTTCCTTCCTCCAATCCCTTATATATACCGAGTTATAAAATTATCATTGCCATTTGTAGAAAAACTTGCCCCTTCACAAATTTGTTAGGCTACCTACGCCGTGAAGTGAGTGTTACAGTTCATCATTTCTGTATTGTTTGGAAAAAATTATTTCCGATAATCAAACCTTGTGAAAAGAGATTTGAACCGTGAAGATAGCATCCCCATTCTGGACGGCTTTTACCAATCGAGTGCAAAAGCTGCGTCCATCCCTAATGCGGTCCACCATATAGAGGATAGGCATATGAACATTACCTGAAATCTTAATGGTAAGAGACCACATAAAGACAATTTGAAAACAGTATTGATTTAGTCAACAGCGTACTGGAGTCACGTCTTCACATTACTGATTTTGAGCATTTGTAGTGACATGGGAAGGTTTCTTCTACCAAAAGAGTACTATCATGAGCCTCACTTTGAGAATCATTAATACCCTTCACTTCTGTGATAATTTCGTCTTCCTCCGATTTTTTCTGACTGCCCCGAACTCGCTACCCACCGTACAGGAGCGCTAGTTCATAAATCCCCGAAGTACATTCCTTTCCAACTCAATTTATTTGTGTCGTCATCACCGATCAACAATCACTTGTACAAAGAAAGATATTGTAATCTATACTGTGATCAAACAGTATTGTTCACATGTCCTTTGAACGACTTATAAAAGACTACCTTCACCTAAATTCAAATTTCATATGAGTTGTACCCTCTATTACCTCGTCTACGTTGATAAAACATCTCAAATACTGGTACATTCCACGAAACCATTACCATTTATGTTAGCCATGCTTTATTTTCATCTGCTCATGTGTTGAATATTTTTTCATCAAACTTTAATGTTCACAAAGCAATTCCAGTTATATTTCTTCCTTTGATCCTCACCTTTAATATCTATTATCAGTACTAAGGCATCATAATGAATGGGATAAATGGGAGTCCTATTCTTAATTCGGTGTCTATAAATTTTCGCACACCCCCTCTCCATCACTCTATTTACTACAATTTCAACTTATTATTTGCTGCCTACTAGTTTTAATGGCAGGGTATGTTGCGAAATGTAACTTCAATGATGCTCAGATATTTGCAAAACTCCGGACCGCAGGCGTCTGCGGTGAGGAACGAACGCGCTATTACCCTTTCCGGAGCTAACGCGTTGACCACCATAACATGCGGGCCCCGCAGACACCAGCGGTACCGAGTTTTGCAAATATCTCAGTACCATTGAAGTTACATTTCTATTTACTACAACTAATCGGCTAAACTTCGCTCCCAAAAGTGATTACTTTTTGCAAATCTCTATTGCCAAATGCAATCTTAAGGTGTTCTCTAGCTAGAGGGATACTGGTGTTTATAGAGTTGCTATAGTTGTTATAGGAGTTGCTTGATTTTAAGATACCGTAAGCCCATTCACATCAACCAAGTACTCGACTTTTCTTTTCGAATTAAATGCAATCGAAATGAGAAGGAGTACATAGATTCATACAGGAAATCATTCGCGAAACTCACATAATAACCTCTAATAACCTCGCCGGCATAAATCATTTGATATATGATAATGCACGCTTCGGACAGCTTCTATGAAAGCCAAATTTATTTGTTCAGTATACGTTCAGTGACAGAGTAGTACAATTTTTTCTTCGAGTTCTCTCTATTATCTACTAGTGTGATCATATGCATGATGTTTTCCTCTCTACCTATTAGTCTCATCATATCCACGTTGTTTTCTTCATTATCACGAGACATTTATTTGTAATCCCATTAATCATTGAGAGACTCAAAATTAAGTTCCTATTCATACCTGCCAGTTGCCTTGGCACGTTCAATAAACTCGGTGTGCTCAAGGAACAACAGAAGCATCATACTTTCCACATAATAACCTTTATTTTTACTTTAGATCGTGTCAGGTTACTGGGTGGCTGTTTACGCTGTCATGTAGAGAAGGTTCAAATTTAGGGTCCCTACTAGAAATGGTACTTGAATTCTGCCAACTTAAGACTTCCAAGTAAGCTTCAGTGTACTTGATAGCCAGCTCACTGCAGGCTTTATGCATGCTAAAGTCCATATACATGCAAGATCGAAGCCAATTTCGACAGCGTAGATAGTTTGTTAATTAGCTAAAAACACACATCTCAGTGTTAGTACGGCCTAATTTTTGACCCGCGCCTAAAACTCATTATGTTCAATGCAGCGTTCTAAAACAGTAGAAAAATCAAACTCGAGTACAAATTTCAATACGAATCTGAACTTTGGCATCACTCGTCAGAAACATATTGTAGTATCATTTCATTTGGATAGGGAACCGCCATCGAACAACAAGGTACGGTTCGCCTTCTCTTTCCCAAACATCGAGAGATGTTGACACGAAAGTTCCCAAGCACTACAGGTGATTTATATGACAATCCAGCAGATGGCTGTCATATTAATTGGGTGAAATTAGGAAGGTTTTTGTTAAAAAATCAGTCCCACTATTGATAGCACCCAAAAAAGTTCTGAATCATGGCGGTAGAGAAGACGGTTCACAAAAAAACTTGAATCACTCTGAAACTACAACACAGGCATTGACAGGAAATAGGCAAAATTCATCAGAAACGAAAACCTTTAGTGTCAGTGCTTACGGACGAAAAAGCATCGACAGTGCTGCGTTATAAAGTGGTCGATCTAGTTTTGCACATGACTTTCACAAGTTCACAAGCTGAAGATGTTAGGGTGCGAAATTCTACGTAACTTTTTATTCACTGCCTATTAATTTTTCATTGCAGAGTAGTGAGGCACAACCACAACGATGCTGAGATATTTGCAAAACCCAGATCCCAAGCAAGACTGGAACTCGCTATTACCCTTTTCGGGTACTCACGTGTTACCCAGTGCATCTGCATCATTGAAGCTCTTGCTGTGCCTTTTATCCTAACGGTGCTATTAGCAATCAATCAACCATCAACGGGAGAATTGTGGAAATTTGGTTCATTCACTTTACCAGGGTTTATCATTAGCGGAGGAAACGCCTGCCAAATATAAGGAAATAAAAGTGCCTTTGTTGACGTGTCGGATCCACAGATGCAAACTTTTACGTTGATAGAATGTCCAACCTTGTTACCCCGTGTAAGTCTAGATGCTTGCATGCAGTTACTACATTAATTCACTGAAAGAGTTTTAGAATTTTGCTGAAATCCAATATTCCACAACGAATAAGATGATAAAACCGCTGATGAAAAAGATGATAAATGACAAATAGATGATAAACAAAAAAATAATAATGATAAATTATGATAATGATGATGATAATGATTTAGATGATAAACAAACCGCTTTGTACAAAATAACTATGAAGACTGTTTGGTAGAAATCCACTGCCAACGGTTGCAGTCGCAGCAGAAAGAGCCTATAACCCACAAAAAATTCAATTCTAGTAATGATCTTTAACATCTTAATGATGAAGACGAGTTTTTCTCAGCGTGCCATATGCAGTGAAGAATGAGTTGGTACTTTGATACTTGAACAAGGCCTTGATGAATCACAAAAAATTAAGCAAGTCCAGGCACAACTTCTAATTGAATGGTAATTCCCCCATTGGGGCAGTACTTTCTTTCCCTGCGTCTTAAAAGCTGTGCTAAACGTGATTTCAGTGATCCTTAGTACCTGTCAGCTATCTGACTACTTTGCTGTCAGAAAGATTTCTGGTAATTCCGCATTCCCAACTAATCTTCTGGACGGAAACGTCAGACACCTCGGCCTGGAGGATGCCGAAAGCAGCTGTAGGTCGCATCCGAGTACTTGAGGCATTGTGATTTAAAATGCCCCATAACTTAACCCATCTTAGTGTCGTCATCATAACCAATAGTCTCCTCTGTTACTCTGTCCATATAACAACTAAGCAACCGCCGCTAGCCTCAAGGAAACAAACAAACTCGTGCCAATATGTCTGTTCGTGTATAGAAAGCACATTTTCTCAGACCATGCTGGATGTTGCTTATGGAAATAGTCCTTATAGACCTGTGTTTGTAGACACTTGTGTGTTAAAAGATACCGTCTCACCTGTCCAATAACTTGCCCACCGTAAACCACAGGCAACGAATTTCGCCCCTTTAGTAGATGGCGTGCACTGAAATCAGAAATACCACAGTGAAGGACTGAAAAGATGCTAAGGTCTTAAGAAGTCTCAGAATTACAGGAAGAGATTCTTGTCGATTTTCTCCAAATTGAGAAATGTGTCGATCAACCCCGCTTGAATGTCTTCCGCCCGCGAAGAAATGTCGACATACGTGACATTTGTTAAGGATGTCAAAGAAGCAGTGGTTGGTGAGAAATCCTCCTTAAGTAGATGAAACTATAACGATATTCGAATGCATATAATTATCAAGAACTCTTTCATTTTTTCGACTGAGTTTTCTATTTAGGAGAGATTTTAATATTACTGAATCAATAAGCATAAATGATATGAAAGATAAAATGCGAAAATGCAAATTATATGTATATATATATATAACTCGTATGAAGTGCTGAGATACCTGCAAAACTCCGGACCACAGGTGTATGCAGTGGGAACGAACAC